CCTTTAGCTTTGTGGGATGATGCCCAACAACTGAGCTGCACAGGTTAGGGCTTCTCTACCATTTTTGTTTTTTTGGTCAAATTAAATGGCAGAGAGTAGAGAGTTTGGAAAAGGCACCTATTTTCTGAACTTTAGTTTCTCCATAGTTACCTGGGAGGAATAATACCTACCTCACATAATTATTATCCAAGTCAAGTCAGTTGGTTTGCATAAAGTTTACCTGTGACCTGTGAAAAATTATATGGGTATCAGTACAGGGATCAGGAGCAGTAATATACATGTAGGTCGATGTCACAGAGAAATAGAGCTTTGATGTGAGTATTTTGCTTATCTTGGATATTTCCTGCAAGGTTCCATCCTTGCTGAGGTGCTTTGCTTGATTTTCGTTGGTCTAGAAGAAAGAAATACAAAGAATCGTTTTTGAAAGCAGGTCCAGTGTGGAACTTACAAGTGTTCTCACTTCTGTACCTAGAAGTCCTGTACTCTCTCCATGAATCCTTCCCTCTCTTTCTGTCTAAAATATTCCCAATTATTGGGTGTCCCATCTGTGCTTTAAATTTTGGTATCTGCTGTATGTCTGGGATGTCTGTAGTCAATGAGGCTGCAAATCCTTTCCCCCTCCCAGCCTCCATATTGCTGCCTTCATTTCTTTGTTGCGCAGTGTATAGATTATGGGGTTAAGCAAGGGAGTGACGACAGTGTAGAAGACAGCTACCACCGCATCCAGGGGCTCCTGTGAGCCGGGACGAAGGTAAATGAAGGTGCAAGGCACATAGTAAACAATGACAACAGTGAGGTGGGCAGCACAGGTGGAGAAAGCATTGCGGCGTCCATCGACAGACCGGATTTGCAGGATGGTAGCCACTATGCAGCCATAGGATGTGAGGATAAGCACAAAGCAGGTGAGGGCCAGAAAACCAATGTCCACAAAGGTGACCAGTTCATTGATGGTGGTGTCAGCACAAGCTAGACGTAGTACGGCAGGAATGTCACAGAAGAAATAGTCTACCCGGTTTGGACCACAGAAGGGCAGGCGGAATATGAAGCTTGTCTGGAAAAGTGAGTGGAGTGTGCCTCCTAGCCAGGTACCTAGAGCCAGGTAGTTACAGATGCTATGAGTCATGATGGTGGCATAATGTAAAGGCTTACAAATGGCCAGGAAACGATCATAAGCCATGAGTGTGTAAAGGAAGCATTCAGTGCAGCCCAGGAAATGGAAAGAAAAAAGTTGAATTACACAGCCCCAAAAGGAGATAACTCTGCTCTCCAAGAGAAAGCCAGCTAACATCTTGGGGACAATGGCAGAGGAAATGGTCATGTCCAAGAAGGAGAGGTGGCATAGGAACCAGTACATGGGTCGGTGGAGCTGGGTGTCCACCAAGACTGTGAGAATAATGAGCCCATTGCCACAGACAGTGAGGGCATAAATAACAAAGAAAGCTAGGAAGAGTGGTACCCCCAGTGGTGGTGGATGGTGCAGGCCCACCAAAATAAAGTGAGACACGGAAGTGTGGTTTCCACTTTGCATTTCCTTGCTGTTTACATCTGCAAAAAGAAGGAGGAGAAGAGAAGTCTCAAATGGTCTTCAAATACTCTGGGTATAACATATTTTTTTTCTGTGTCCTTCCCAAATATGAACAGAAAGGATCCAAGAAAGTGATCTCAAAAAGAGAGATCTCACTCTGGTTCTAGCTGTTGTTCTTAGTCATTTTTTCTCCTCACGCTCCCCACAAGTCCTTATTCTGAGTTCATCCTGGTTCCAGGGGAAAATTGTTCCCTCCAAGGTTAAAACCTATGTAACAGATTATGTGTATACAACTCAGGAGAGCAAAGGACAGACCATACACAGAGCTTTTTATTTCAGGAAGAAGTATAATCATATAAAACCTAAATAAATCTATAAAGAACTGACTGGTCTATTGTTTTCCTATTGTAGATCTATGATCTACGTACCAGAGAGTTAGGTTACAGCTGACTTTTTTTAAAAATGAGAGTTGGAATTATATTTTCTAGTGTAAGTGTACCCAATAAAAACCTGTGTAGATTTTTAAAAATGTATTATCTGGGTTATACAGTGAATATAAAATATTCAGAACGCTTAGAGTTATGGCTAAAATATCTATTTTAATAAATTCTATTTTAAAAATGCACATGTTCTTTAAAATATTTCAGGATAGTGAACAACACAAAATCTCAGCCCTAGGGCATCTGTTGTCCCTGCTTCTCTCTGCTGCTGGATCAGTGAAGTCCATCTATTTATTCATTGATCCATCTGTCCACTTAGCACAGGAGCATACATTGTATTTTGAGAGCATGGCCTAAAATTTAAGCATCCTAGCTTTTCCACCTGCACTTATTGGTGATCTTGGAAAAGCCATTTCACTTTTCTTTGCCTGTATCTGTAAGTGGAGACAATCACAGTGCCTACTTCCTGGGACTGTTGTAAGGGTTAAATAAATTAATTCAAATATTTCAGAGGAGCATGCAATAAATGTTAGCTATTATTTGCCACCAACCATGTGTTGTGGTCCTGTATTGATAGAAACTCTAGTCATGGTATTTATGCCTCAGGCCTAAAGTGAACCTGTAGCTTTCAGTGAGTTGTCGAAAAGCAGATCTGAGTCCTCAAACTGGAAGCAGTGTTACAGAGCCCTTTTATCCTGGGATTACTGGCACAGGGACAGGAAGAAGTCAGGAAATTGACTAGGGGGGGTGCCACAAGTCTTCCAGACCCTGAGGAATCATGTGAGGTGTACTCTTCCTAGTGACACCTTCTTGCCACAAATCTTTGCTCTAATAGTCTGTTTACCAATGTGGGAAAATATCCAAAGTGGCATGTCATCTTGCTGAGGACATGAGGGTCACTCAGAATCATGCAAAAGGCTTCAGGCGATGCCTTTATTCCTTCAGGAATAAAATTTGGTTTCCAGCTGGACTCCTAATAGGCAAAAGGCCCAAGATTGCAACTACAGTGGCCATCTGACCACTTCCACTATTTCTACACCACGAATCACCGTGTATCCATGTTCTTATCGCTTAGTCTTCGAACCCACAAGAACAGCTCTTGTTAGTGAAAACAAATTTTCTGGAGAGTTAGCTATTTTCTTGTTGAACCTAGCAGAGTCCTGGGCAAATTGAGTCAGGTGATCCCCATAAGTAAGGGTCTAAACCACAGAGGAACTAAATAATCCCTCAACATGTAGCTAGAGAATCTATTCTTTTTTAAAAAGACTTTATTTATTTATCTTTAGAGAGGAAGGGAAGGAGAGAAGGAGAGAAACATCAATGTGTGGTTGCCTCTCATGAGTCCCCTGCTGGGAACTGGCCTGCAACCCAGGCATGTGCCCTGACTGGGAATTGAACCGCGATCGTGTGGTTCGCAGGCCCGCGCTCAATCCACTGAGCTATGCCAGCCAGGGCTTAGAGAATCTATTCTTAAACAATTTCTGAGAAAATTCTTAGAGATTTTCTAGACACTTTCTTGATTATCAACCTTGGTGTTACAGTGCCCATAGGGAAAGTCCAAAATTATTGCCACAACATGTAGGAATAGAGAGCCTCAAATCTGGCATTGACCTACTTCCCTAGCCTTCCCTCTCTCTGCACTTTGTGCCGTAAATTAGTGCTCTAGCCAAACACTCTTTGCTGTTTCTGTATCCAGGGGTGTCCAATCTTTCAGCATCTCTGGGCCACACATTAAATACACAAACAATTATGAAAACTGATGAGTAAAAGAAAGTTTTAAAATAAGTTTATGATTTTGTGTTGGGCCGAATTCATAGCCATCCCTGGTTGGACAGGTTGCAGGTTGGACACCACTGATGGATGTTTGTCCTTTTAGTCTGGAATGGCGTTGCTCCTCTGACACCTGATCCAAGTTAGCACTTGCATGTGATCTCCGAAGTAAAGCCTTTCCTCCCAGTGGTCACTGGTGTCTCACAGCTTCTGCATTACTTCACTCATGTTCCTACAGGATTTCTAAGCCTGTTGCAGTTCACCCCATATGCCTGATTTCCCCATTACACTGTGAGCTCCTACAGGGTCTTTGTCTCATTTTTCTTTTCATCCCAACTTTGCAGCATAACTTGCACAGAAAGATTCTTAAATCTAACTGAATAAATGCATTCCCCTTTGTATGGATGTCCTTGTTATTTAGACATTGAGTCCAGGCTAATGTCAGTTAGGTCTTATAATCTAGCTCCTGAAATCATAAGAATTTCACTGCTGAGACTGTTACAACTAATTTACTAATTAGCTACATTCTTCTGAACAAATCTCTTTAAAAATTTTAGTCTTATTTTGTCAATTTCTTATTCGTTAAATTAAAAAAAAAAAGGATGGAGGAGGAGTTGGCGTAGATTCCAAAAAAGAAATACCAATTTCTTCTGCTGCCATATCAATTTACATTTTAAATTTTGTTCTTACACACAGAAAATCCATTTCTTCCTTGTCCCAGTACCTTTTTGTACTATATTTTCCCTCTTACCTTCTGCCTGCCTTAACATCTCAATCCTCATTTATTTTTATAATTTATTACTCTTTTTGCATAGAAATAATCGTTTCTTTTTTCTGGGAAGGCAGAAAAATGCCCCTGGTTTTCTCATTAACAACTAAAACTGCTCCAAGTACATGTGTATACAATTTAGTCAATACCACATTTTATTATCAGCATGTCATATATTCATCTGTGGAACAGGAAAAGAAGCAGTTTCTACAAATAGTCCTGGGGGAAGGGCATTAGTTCTACCCATATACTAGCTTTATCTGCCCATTTCACACGCTGTGTGAGCTGAACTGGACTTAAGGTACACTCTGAAACTTATTGGGGGAGCAAACTGAGAGGTAAATCGGCCTTTGTTGGGTAGATTACAACTGTTTTTGTCTCCCCTTTAAACTTATTTATAAAGCATAATGCTATTAAGAGATCTCAGCTGTCTCCTGTGTTTTCAATGTCTGTAACATACTTTTAATAAATATATATTGCAGGAGGATTTCCATCACTACCCCTGTACCTCCCTCCGGAGCCGCTCCTGCTGGTGGCCACCACCTGTGTGCAAATGTGCGGTGAGGCAACGGCCTGCTGCCTGATCCAGTGTCCTGGTGCTCTTGCTGTTTCCTGTGGAGACCCCTCGATCTCCTCCTCTGACGTGCCCCTTCTTGACTTTGTCACTGTGCTCTTCCTGTACCCTTCTCTGGCTCATTCCTCCTCCCTTAGCCTTTTTGAAAGTATTGACAGCAATTTTCCTAGACTTTGGCCTCTGGAGTTTTATATTCTGGCAAGTACCTTCTTCCTCTTTAGAGTCCCCAGGGGGTGGGAGCAGGGGGGCTGACATCACTTCTTCACCCTGTGGGGGCAATTAACTTGTGGGGAAATACACTGCAGCAGGAAATATGCTGTGTGGGCTTTGTTAACAGCAAAACATGAACCACAACTCTCCTAGGAAGTTTACTTAGTTGATTTTGATGATGCTGTAGCATTGGGATCCTGCTAAGAGCATACACTTGATCAGGAAAGAGTCAAGAAGGATCACTCCTTCGATTTCTCTGGGTTTTGGTTTTCTTGTCTATTAAGTGGAGATGATATTGCCTTATCTACTTAGGCCATAAAGGTATAAGGATGGAATTTGAAAGAACTTCGAAGCTAAAAATTCTACATGGATACCATATGGTCATTACTTTGGAGTGGGGGCTGGGTGGAAGTGGGCAAAGGGGGGGATGGGGACATCTGTAATAGGGTCAATGATAAAAATAAAGTTAAAATGTGCTTTTTAAATTTAAGTCATATTTGATATAATCACCCCAACATTCATAGCAGCACAATTTACAATAGCCAAGTGTTAGAAGCATCCTAAGTGCCCATCAGTAGATGAGTGGATCAAAAAACTGTAGTAAATTTATACATGCTCTGGCTGGTGTAGCCCAGTGGATTGAGCATGGGCCTGCAAACCAAGGGATTGCTGTTTGATTCCCAGTCAGGGCACATGCCTGGGTTGCAGGATAGTTCCCAGCAGGGAATGCATGAGAGGCAACCATACATTGGTGTTTCTCTCCTTTTCTCCTTTCCTTCCTTCTCCCCTCTAAAGATGAATAAATAAAATCTTTTAAAAAGTTATTAAAAAATAAAATAATCCTATGGGGGGGAAACAACTATAGCACATTTATACAATTGAATACTACACAACAGAAAGAAAGAAGGAGCTCCTACCCTTTGCAACAGCATGGATGGAAGTGGGGAACATTATACCAAGTGGAATAAGCCAGGTGGTAAAAGACAAACACCATATGATCTCACCTATAAGTAGAACCTAATTAGCAAAACAAACAAGCAAGCAAAATATAACCATGGACATTGAAATAAAGAACATACTGACGGTAACCTGAGAGTGGGAGGGGGATAACAGGGGAAAGAAGGGAAAAGGTAATCAAGGAACATGTATGAAGGACCCATGGACAAAGGCAAAGTGGGGTAGGATAGAGTGTGGTAGGTGGGGGTGGGCAGGGCGCAGGAAAATGCTGGTGTGAAAATGGAGACAACTGTACTTGAACAACAATAAAAGAGAAAAAATAAAAAATAATTTAAGTCATATTTGAAAAGAAAATTACTAGGACATTGCATCAGAATAGGCACCATTATTTTAAGCAGAACTATTTAGATATACAACTATATAAATAGAAGACTAAGCTAGATGGAGTATAAAAAACTTGTCAATCTTTTAAAAGTCAAACACATTTAAATTAGAGCTTCAAGGTCCTTTAGAAAAATGATCTAGAGGATACCTCCATTTTATAGCTGAAAAAAAAAAACAGTTCCAAAGAGGATAAGGACTTTTCCAAAGGTGAAAATTGAACTTGTGTAGATAAAGTCTCATATAAGTCTATAGATATATAATATGAAACTACCCAGTTATGAGAATAAAGGAAGTTGTAGCTGTAAGACAGTGCTGGGAAAATTACAGATAAATATTTGTTAAAGTAATTCTTGTCTTTTTTAAAAAATTTATTGATTTATCTTTAGAGGGGAAGGGAAGGAGAGAGGGAGAGAAATATCAATGTATGATTGCTTCTGGTGCATCCCCTGCTGGGAACTGGCCTGCAACCCATGAATGTGCCCTGTCTGGGAATTGAACCATGATTGTCTGGTTCACAGGCCCGCACTCAATCCACTGAGCTACACCAGCCAGGGCTAATTCTTGTCTTGTAATGTTTTACTTATTTACTTTGAACCGTTGTTGGTGTGCAATTTTCAGGTAGTATATTGTGAGTCACATTGTTGCACTCAGTCTGTTTTTGAATGTGCCACTTTCCGTGTGAAGAATCATATAAAGTCAGCACAGGGTGTTTCAGTTTGTGGTTATTAGTGCATTTACCTATTACACGGACATGGGTTCCTTGTTTTTAAATACTTCCCATGGTATTCAATGTAAGTCAGGTTGAAGATTCTGGTAAGAGGTAATTCTACACGTAGAAAGAGAAATGGAAGAAACTCAAGACTTTAAACACCTAATCCTCTCCTGTCACAGGAGGCTTTCCAGTTCTGTGACATTCCTGATGAGAATACATGTTTGCACAGAATAATATGAGGCAAAGGAACACCTGGTTACGAACTGAGGCTTTGGTTCCAAATTCCACTGTGGATCCTTGGCTTGGGGAAGTTAGAAAAGACCTTCCATCCATATGAGGGAGGCTAAGTGGCTATCTTTCCACTCTAGACCTCTGACACGGACACCAGCTTGCAGTGCCCATGGCATCATGGCTGAGATACGAGACAAATTCACATGGACTACTGAGTCCTGTGGAGGAAAAGGGATGGCGTGGCTAGTCCCTCAAGGGGGAAGCTCCTCAGAGTGGCCTGGCCACTCTTCTCAAGGGGAGAGTGCACCAACCCTTGCCTATACAGGCCTTTATTGGGTTTCAATTAGCACAGGAATACAGGTAAAGTTTATTAATCATTGTCAGGCAGTAAGGATCAAACAATAGATAGCATACAAAGAACTAGGAGGGCCTATTCTGAGTCAGGGTCTATTAGCTAAAGGACTACAAAACTTTGGGAAACAGACTCATTTGCTGCTCAGACTGATATCATTTAATCAAGAGCATTCAGGTTTGCTAGCAAAGCAGGTTTCACAGGATTTTATGTATTCTTTCTCAGGCCTGATCACCCAGGGAACCCACCCTTTCCAGCACAGGGCTGCATCACCCTCTGTCATTGTTTCAGGCTTAATTCAATCAGGGTAAGGCAGCCAAGAGATTAGGAGACTTCTTGCAGACAGAATCAGGACTCAGGCTATGTCAAAGCCGAGGGGCAAGGGCCCATCGCCCCCTTTCTCCATACCTCCTTGAGTCCTCTGGGACCTCCATGTGATCATGCCTGTCTTAGGTTGTTCCCCCCTTGGGGAATCTTACCCATCACTGGCTAACTGATCAAGCACTGGGGGCCAGTTATGGATGAAGGAGCAGAAGCAGTGTTCCTGCCAGGGAGATAAGCTTTGTCTCCTTAGCAGCTTATTGTCTGAAGGTCGCTCACTCAGCCTTAGCCATGGGGCAGTTACAGCTCCTGAAACCAGACAGGGCAGTTCCCAACAGACCTCCCTGGGCTTTCCATTGGGTTTTCTTTGTGAATGGGGCCATGGAAGGTGTATGGGAGGGGGTGGCAATTTCTAATGCAAGTAAAAACTTACAGGCATGGTCTGGGAATCTGAGAACTGCACATTTTCAAATGAAGACATACTGAAGCCTAGGGACATTCTATAACTATGATAAAATAATGTCTTATTTTGTTGTAGCAACAAGGCTAAAATAGCACAAAGTAAAACACATATTTTGAATGTGGATTATTAAGTTATAGTATCAGATAAACTTCTTTTGCTAGTACTCTCATATAAATTAGAAAATTATTAGAAAAAAAACAGAGCTCTAAGAAATGGAATAGGGATTAGTGGCAAGATGTGGGTGATGTGCCTGCGTCCCCAGCCCCACACCAATCTGTCTGCCCAGGAAACAATGACCCCTCTTGCCCTGTCTGCTGGTCTCAAAGGCTTGGGGATCTAAAAGGCCTCTCCTCAAAGAGAGAGAGTTCTCCTCAGTGATTCCCCTCAAGCCTCCTTCCTTCCTCTTTAGTCCATGACCCACCACCCACCCCACATTAGCTCTAGTCAGACGAAAATGAACTCCAAAAGACTTTAACCAAGGAGAAAAGAATGTAATTAACTATTTGGATAAGTTATCAATGTGCCCTTTTCAGAAGTTCTGCACTCAGTGTGCTAGCTGTTCAGATGATAGTAGCCTCACTCTGCTAACTTACTGATTGGGTGACTGACACTGGGACTCAACAGTGGCTTTTGCTGAACCAAGACATAGGGAAAGGAATGGAATGACTTGAGAAACTAGAAATGTGGAGAGGATTTATCATAAATGTGCAGCCTGACCACTCACGGGCAAACCATGTGCCCTGGGGGAGCCAATTATTACCTTTACTGAGGCTCTAAGAATTGTTGAGAAAGGTCACCATAAAAAGCCAAGAATAGTAGTTGGAACTGATTCCATTGAAATGAGCTTTTAATTTTTACAATGCTTTAAGGATTATGAGTAACAGGTCTTAACTGCAAACAAGAGCTGGGAAAGGTTATCAGAGTGAGTAGCCAGAGCAATGTGTTTGTCTAAAATGGGCCAATTAGCAAATGAATTGTCCAAACCAGAAAGTGCTTCCTTCATGGTTATTGTAACAAAATTCTACCAGGTCTCATAACTAGAGGCCCCAGGTGAGCCACCCTGAGGCCCATTGTACGTCACCAGTTGCTGCTTGAGTCGGTTCAGTGCTTTGGTGCCACTTTAGAGAAGGGAAGGACATGGGTTCACCCTACAGCAACATCAGAAGCATGTCCTGTGCATATTCTTCTGAGTTTTCCCCAATTGGGCCTGTGCTCCTACCACGAAGTACCTAGTCGAGGAAAATATCCAGACCACTTTTAATTTATTAAACCCTGGCTTTGTTAGGTGGTAAATGGGGCTCTGAATCAAGTCCACTTTGGCAGCGTGTCAAGTTACCCTGCAATTATTTCTTGTCATGAGTGTGGAGCTGAAATTGATGTTCTCAGCAACTGGGAATCTCCACACTGTTGTCCTGACCCAGGAGAAAGTGGAGACTGTTTCCATAGAAGAGCCGTGTGGAAACCCTCGGTCTTCCTACTTCCGATAAAAGAGTCTTAAGAACTTCTGTGTCTTCAGGGAGGCTCACAGATATCATACCACTATCAGAGATTTGAAACATTCAGGATGAAAATTTTTTATTACATCCCATTTAACTCTGCATTAGTGTGTACGTGGGGGTGTGGCTCTGCCTGCAGAT